GATGGCTGACATCGGTACGGTCTTTAACTGATTTGATGAGTAACACGTGTAGAAAGACTAATTCAGTTATGTGTACTGTGCAGTTCTTTGATTTTATGAAGATGGCTGTCGGGGGGTGACGCCCTCGGAAGCGGTTCTCGTGGCTAGGGCTCCCTGGCAACGAACCCTTTTCCTGTTCCCTTGGAATGCTAATGCAACACGATAGTATAAGAGTAATGGCGGAAGCCATACAAAGGCGCTCTCGGATACAGTCTCCGTCTGTAAGATGATTCTTCTCAGCAGGCCTTCGTGCCACCTGAGGGAGCTGACAGTATCAGTCAACCTGGGGAAGGTGAGAAGGCAACTGGAGGAAGGGGCTCACCAATTGTGAGAAACCTACCTGAGGAGTTCTCTATTACAGAATCTCCGTTTGAAAGTTGATCATTCTCAACAGCGAGCCAGCACTTCTGGCATCCCGCCCTGGGGAGCTGACAGTATGAGCCAACCCAGTGAATCTGAGAAGTAAGCGCGGGGGAAGGGGCTCACGAATTGTGAGAACCCACCTGTATTATTCATAGGTGCCACTTCTCTGGGAACCAGTGGCTCTGACATCACGGGGAGCTAGTGGTTCTAACAAACCTATGGATTGGGAGCCATTTCTTTTGGCAAATCACAGCACTGTCGTGAATGTAAGAAGGGAGCTTGAAAGCCAGAGATAGCCAAGGTAGTAACGGGGGCATATGGAAACCGGGGTCCGTGGCACATCTCAAGTTCGCGGTGGCCCTGACCAGGGTACCTATGAGGTCTAAGTCAAAGGGCATTTATCCTAACTAAACAGGGACTGTGAGACCAAGGACCTGCATGAATGCCTAGATTATGGCCACAGACAAAAGAACTCGTTAATATAGTATTTCGATTTTGCTATTTTGACAGGCATTTCCTGAAACCAGGCTATTATCATATATCGCGAAATAGGACTGCTTTATTGTAGGCACACGGCTGCCGACGGATTAGAAGAACGAGGTCTCAAAAGAGTCGCTTTGACGCCCGCCCCATTTTTGTAGATTAAATTACCGACGTTTCAGAGGTGCTTGCTGTCTATGCAGACGGCAATAAGCACATCTGAAACGTCTGGAAACTTATACCAGCCTATACGGCGCAACAGCCCAGAAGACTACCATGTTGATGGTTGCCACCATTAGAATATGAAATTTCTCTTATTTAATTTCAGTTTTATACTTTATATTAATTTTAATAATCGTCATTTACTGAAATCTAGACGCTGAGACACGTCTTTGGTCATACGAGAGATGAAATAAGTGTGCAAGTAGTATATTATGGCTTGTATGTACAGGCTAATTTGTATTGTGAGGGAAATTAACTGAAAGGGGGTTATAATAGACTGGGCAGGTAGCTCAGGTGTGAGAAACAAGAAATACATGTCGAATTTTGATTGGGAAGCCACTTAAAACCGATGAGAAATTTGAGTTTAACATGAAGTTGGATTTACAGAGATGGGTTCTGATGATGGGAAGATGTAACTGATTCAGAATCGTGTTAATAGCGAACTTTGGTGTTGATTCTCCAGCCGTTTCCAGAGTTGGTTAAAAGAAAATATAATGTAAAAAATTCAGGTCTCTTACACCATTACAAGGAAAATAATTTGATTATGCATTTTGATTCGAGGCGCGTGGTAGTTTGCAACAAAAGGGTATTTGCAGTGCATGGGCACCAAGGCCAGTGAGATGTTCAAAATCGCCGAGACTACATTAAAGATCATGCCTTTCCACTTTGCCAATTAATGTTATAGGCATTTTCTGCTCGTTATATCAGACATTCGTTTAAGACGCCATATTGTAGCGGACTGGTTCTGTCTTTAATGAAAAACACGGACAAACACTGAAACACGCGATTCCTGTATTCCTGCAGTCTTAATTATTTGACCGTGTTGTATCAACTGCGTGCAGTCTTTACTATTCGTATTGCAAGGACCGAGAAATCTATGGCGTGTGCAAAGTATCTGTTTAAGATAATAAGTTTTTTGAGCTAGTCCTATTTGAGATATAGCTCGCCCTAACCAGTAGATCCCTTCCCGCTGATGACGTCTGTAATCCAGCTAATAACCGTGTTCTGTCATTGTCAGATACTGCTTCTGTTGGTAATGATGTGAAATATTACTGCTCATTTACATATAATGGTTACTGACATTAAGTTATTGTTTTGATATGTGCCTGTGCTCGCCGGTTACGTTTACGTCTAGCTTTTTATTAGTAAGCCTACCTTGCTCCTTTATTTCTCCATGAAATTTGTTCTTTTATTATTATTATTATTATTATTATTTATTATTGACTGCAAATGGGTTTATACCCGGTGACCTTGTGTAATTTAATAATATGTGATTAGTGACGACTGGACTTTTTAGATATCGATATAGACGAAAGAGGTTCGATTATCGACAGGGAACTAGTCAGCCTGGTGTAGCTGTTTACGCGAAGCTGAAGTTCATGTCCGAACTCAAAGCATCCCTAAGTCTCGGCTTAAATTGTAGTAGAAGGGAATAAAACGTGATTTTGCCAACACTCATATCACAGAAGAAGTGTATATTAAAATTTATCTAAATCTGCCAAAGGACTATAAGATGTGCATAAAATTAATTGGAATCCTTGAGTAACGTGGCTATTGGAATGAACTGTACCAGATAAAAAGAATAGAACGCTGGCCTTGTAATCCTGGGGTCTCAGGTTCGATTCCCGGCGGTGCACGAATTTATAACTTGTGTTGGGCAAGGCCGTGGTCTAGGCAACACGGAGTTTTCCTCCGTGGCATCCCAACAATTACTCCATTCACACACAGAAGAAGGCAAGGGCAAACCACTTCTGGATCATCTGCCAAGAACATATATGAACAGGTCCCAGTCCGAGAAAAAGATGGAAGGATCCTGTTCATATGGACCTGTCATCAGACAGAACACTAAATAAAAAATA